CAAATATGCATTGATGACAACGAATCTTCATTAACTAGCAAAGTGGTTAATCTACGTGGTAGTGAGGAAAAAGAGAGGTTGTCACTTAAGACAAGTCAGCCGATTACGCACGGAAGAGACTATTCCTTTCGGAAAATCCAAACGATTCAACGAGAAAGTAAGGAAAAAGAAAGATCAGAACCTGAAAAAAGGCAACAGAGTACAAACGGCAGTGACAATTCCTTTCGGAAAACCTAATCAATTTAACATACTATACCAAAATATTCAAAGCATGTACAATAAACAAGATATTTTAGAAGCATTTTTACATGATAATCCGTTGTACAAAGCTATGTGCATATCCGAAACATGGTTAACAGAGGAAAAGTTAAATTTAATACAACTTACCGGCTACAAAGTTGCAGCCGCATTTTGTAGAAAAAACCGAATTGGAGGTGGTGTCTGCATACTATTACAGGAGTCTATAGACTATGTGGTGAAAAATGATATTACAAGCATGTCCCTAGAATATATATTAGAAATAACTGCGGTGGAACTACGTAAAGATAATTTGTTAATTATAGTCATGTATTGGAATAGAAGAGAGGAGGATGTATTTTTCAACCAATTACAGTTAATTTTAAAATATTTAAATAATAAATACAATAAATACAATATTGTCATAGGCGGGGATTTCAATATTGATACATTGCAATTTAATAAGAAAACCAGTGAATTCCTTAATTTGATGTTAGAATATAAATTTAGTCAACATATCAAAACAGCAACCCATGTAACAGTAACCTCATCTACTTGCCTGGACCTCATCTTTACTAACTTTAGTAATGGTTTGCTTACTACGGTAGAGGAACTAGGGTTTTCAGATCACTCAGCTACCATTATAAGAATCAAACTACTTCAACAATCTAACCAACCAAATTGGTACACACAAAAAAGGATCTTTAATAAAATAACAATAAATAGTTTTAAAACACAGCTACACTCAATAAACTGGAATGAAATATTATTCGACTACAAAAATATAAATGAAAACTACAATATGTTCCATGTTAGGCTAATAACATTACTAGACGAAACTATACCAAAACGCAGAATTAAACTAAAAACAAACCCAAAAAAATATTGGTTAACAGCAGGAATAAAAAAATCCTGTAAAAATAAAAGATTGTTAAAAATACTCACAACAAAAATAAATAACCCAACATTAAAACAACATTATAAAATCTATGCTAAAACATTAAAAACAATTATTAATAGAGCAAAAAGAAATCAATTCATAAATAAATTAAAACATTCGAATAACAAAGTAAAAACTATGTGGCAAATAATCAATGAGAGGATGAATAAAATAAATCGAAAAGAAAAATGTAATATAAATTTACAAGTAAATGATATCATGACCTCAGATCCAAAACAAGTTGCTAATTTATTTAACAACTTTTTCGCCTCAATCGGTCAATGTAATAATGACGCGGCGACACACGGTGTCCCTTGTGGTCGTTCTGTTCTCCGACCGACCCAAAATACCATGTATCTAAGCCCAGTTACTTGTCCTGAGGTGAATAAAATTATTAAATGTCTTAAAAATAAAAAAAGCCACGGCATAGACGAACTCCCACCTAACTTAATCAGAGAATGCGCCGACGAATTAACATTACCGTTCACTTTATTAATAAACCAATCATTTAACGAAGGCACTTTTCCATCACAACTAAAAAACACTATCATAAAACCTATTTACAAAAAAGACGGAAAAACCGATCCAAACAACTATCGTCCAATCGCCCTTTTGCCGACTGCATCTAAGATTTTTGAAAAGGCCATTTGCAGTCGCGTTACTAAATTTTGTGAAAAATACCAAATATTTGATGACTGTCAGAACGGCTTTAGAAGAAATCGCTCCACAACTTTAGCAGTATATAAATATGTTAACGAGGTGGTCAAAATATTAGACAGAAAGAAATACGGTGTAGGTATCTTATTGGATATGACGAAAGCATATGATAGGGTCCTCCATAATATACTATTAGGTAAACTATACGGGATAGGTATTCGAGGCTCTGCTCACGCCTGGTTTGTTTCATATTTAAAGGATAGGCAGCAATTTGTTGAGATCGAATACTTTGATACCAATACTAAAAATATTTCTTGCGTGCGCTCCGATTTTAAAAAAGTAAATGCATCGATTCCTCAAGGAAGTGTTGTTGGATGTCTTTTATTTTTGATATACATCAATGACCTTCCTACGGCTATAGGCGAAACCTGTGTATTGTTTGCTGACGATGTACCTTTGCTTACATCATGTCAAAACGACACTGATATATATGACAAACTTCATGTCCTTCTGACTAAAACTACAGACTGGTTAAATGATCATAATCTCAAAATTAATTTCTCTAAATCTAAAATAATGCCCTTCCATCCCCACCAAAAAACTTCATTAAACTTAAAATTCGATTACAATGGTACAATTTTAGAATCAGTTAAGGAATTTAGATTGCTCGGTTTAAATATAGACACCCACTTAAATTGGAATTCGCACATTCATAGGGTAAAGTCTAAGTTAGCAGGATTTTCATACGCACTGCGCGAAGTAAAAAAGACAACAAACATAGAGACGGCAATAACAACCTACTATGCCTACGCGCACGCTTGGCTCAGTTACGGCATCATTCTGTGGGGTAACAGCACGGATGCAGCCTCTCTATTCACCCTTCAAAAGAAGTTAATTAGAATAATAGCCAATATTGACCAGAGTGATAGCTGTAGACCATATTTTCTTAAATATAAAATATTAACCCTGTCCAGTTTATATATTTTGGAAATAAGTAAATTTGTCAGGAAAAATAAACAATTTTATAAAAAACGAGAAGATATCCCATGTAAGTACTCTTTACGACTTAAAAATAAATTAGTATTGCCGACTTCACGATTAAAAATTAACTCCTCTAGTACCTACAGTTCTTCTATTAAAATTTATAATAAACTACCTGAAAATATAAAAAATGAAAACAATGACAACATTTTCATTAAAAAATTAAAACTATTCCTATCCGAAAAATGTTATTACACTATTAACGAATATTTAATAGATAACGCTAACGATAATTGGCCACGCAAAATGATGATAAATATTAAGGTTGTTTTTAAATTAAATTTTATAACAATATAATATAGTATATAGTACCTATGATAAATAAGATTAGAATACTTACTATATATAAAATACTACTATAAAATTGCGCTTCCTCTCTCCTAGCTCCTATGTTGCGTGCCCGACAGGGCCCATAATACTGGTCTCACTACATTTGTAACATCTTATTATGTACATTATGGTTTTGCAATAAATTATTGAATTGAATTGAAAAATACACCCAAACCCACGAGAGAAATAAATGTAGGCCAAGCAAATATTTCTCCCGGCCCGGGAACCGAACCTGGGACCTCTGCGTGGCAGTCATGGTAACCGTTCGGCCACGGAGGCAATTAATATAATTAACCTATGTAATTGTCCTTCTTTACATATTAGTTCCTTGAATAAATGACGTTTCTTTGTAAGGATATCTTAATTAGCGGTATCAGAACGACACAATTCATCTGTCTTTCATTGAATATGTTATTTCCGACACTTAGTAGAGATTTTCCATAATTAATTATAAGAAACCGACAAACGCCAATAGTCTTATGATTGCGAATGTAGATTAAGTTTTGGGTTACCATTAATCCGAATTTATCCGGACATGTCCGGCTTGACATTCTGTACGTATGTTGTCCGCACTTGTCATTCGTCCGGATTGTTCGGCTTAGTAGTTCCGTAGCCTCACTTTCTGGGTTGGATATTAACATGATTTTCCTTATCAACTAACAAAAAAAAAGAAAATCGTTCCGCCACGCGGTTTCACCCCATTAAGGTGGTTTTCCACTGGCCAGGCCAGGCGAACATTGAAATTTTTATGACAAAATTTCAATTCTCTCATAGGTAGACATGGTCTGTATGGACGAGGATGGGCGAGGCAAAAATTTAAATATTGCTGCCGATATACTGTATTATACTCTGCAACGGAAACACGATAGATTTTAATATCAGTGCGAGATTGTGGGGTATGTACTATTAGAGATTTTAAAAAGATGGTTTCATCTGGCTCTTCTTTTGTTAACATATTTAATAATAATGTACGCGACATGTTACTTCAGCCGCGTATCTATAGCTAGGTGGACGAATAGCACTGAATCCTCACTATCTGCAATCACAGCGCGAGCTTGCTTGTTATTAATGGAAATTTTTGTGGAAATAGGCTGGCGAATTTCGATTCTCGTATCACTTCGTCGCGTCTCGCTTCGCCGGTGGAAAACCACCTTAACTCGCTTTTCGCGGTCTTTTTTAGATGGGCTTGAATACAGAGGCGGATTTGCAGTCTTGGCCGAACTGGGCCCCAGGCCATGTAGTCAGTACCAGCCGCCCCTTTATCAGCACTCATCATATACTGGTAGACTACATAATAAAATTACTTTATTACCAATTTTTATCGAAATCGATTCAGAAATATTTTAATATTTTTAATACTGAAATATTTTATACATAAAATGTACGACAGTGATTTAGGAACGTTATTATTATACGATGCGGTGCAGTACGGCCCGCTATAATGTACGTGAGCCTTTAGAATATTTAGGTGCTTTGAGTTATTTCTTGTCATCATCAGTGAATTTTTTGTCATGATTGGCCGCCCCTAAAATTTGGTCGGCCTAGGCCTGGGCCTACTGGGCCTTAGGTTTAATCCGCCACTGTTTGAAAATGAATAGTAAATACTATTCATTTACTACTATTTATGACTATTTAGTCATAAATAAGCATTTCGTTATAATATTCACAAATTTGAATAATACTCTGTTTACTACAAAATCTGTTGCCCGGACGCTTGCCTAGGCAACAAAGATTGTCTCTATTGCCATGTGAGAGAGTTTAGATTTTATTTTGTATTAAAACGATCGGGCTTTTTAGCAAATGTCCTGCTTTTGATTCCGGACTATTCAAATTTCGGAATGGTAACCCTAATCAAATTAAAAGCTACGAGGTGTTGGTGTTATTATACATAAATAAAAACAAGACCCACCTTATGATCAATCCTTTCGTATGCTCCATCCGACACCTGCCCTCCACGGTCATCTATCTTGCACTGTCCTTTTCTAATGTGATGACCTCGAAACCGTTACCGAAAACGGACACTGTCACTGTATCGCTAAAACAAATGGATAACAATTTAATATTGTTTATTATTTACTAAGTCATATTTGGATTATAACTTCAAAGAGTTTTCATCAAAATTTTAAATAAAGGACATCCGAAATACAATGGTACCTAATGAATAGTTTTCCAGTCTTGCCAGGCGTTTTATAATTAATAATAACCCATTATTAATTTTATTAACAAAGGCTTTAAATCCTGTCAATGCGAGGCATATGGGAATACTCAGCGGCATGGTGTGTATGTCAGTTGTTATGTTCTAAATCCTGAGAGCTAGCCGTGAATTAGACTATTTCTACTAGATTATTCAAGTTATCTTCACATATCACATTACAAAAACACTATACCAAATTTCAAGTTTGTAGCAATAGCAAATTTTGAGAAAAACCGTATGCACTGAACTCTCATTATCATTTACGTAGGGAACCCTAACTATTCGAGTAAAACCACTGTAAATAGGCAGAGATGCTATAATTGCCACAGGCAATATACAGAATGACTCAGCAGTTCCTCCAGGTCAATGAATTTGTATTGATAAGCTTCTCTGTTATGTATTGACAAGTTATAGTAATTGCAATTATCACGAAAAAAAAATGGAAATGCCGTAAGCCTCGATTATCAGAACCGCTGTCGCCAAAACTCACATAAAATATGACACACTATGAAATCTTGATAATAATTGGTCGTAATACCTAATTTAAAAAGAAATAACTAACTCTGGACTGTTGCTATAATTTAAACTTTATCCTGTTGACACATCACTGCAAGTTCAATACCTTTAATACCTATTATTGCAAGTTACGACATTTTAATTTTATATTGAAATTTAAATCCATGTGCTGCCATCTAGCGGTTAATAGCTGAACGATGACGAATTCGAGATTTTATTTAATTCTCCAAAAAAGAAGTGACCATGAGGTGACAAACATGACGATAACATATAAAGCGAAAATGGCAGACTGAGCTCAAGTTTGCGGAACTCCGAGAACGTTGGCACACGTGCCACGCAAAGTAAGACTCTACTGTATTTATTGTTCTGTGGGAAATATCATAAATATCAATATGTAAAACTTACAGATCATTCTTAATAAGATCCATTCCCTGTATATCAGCAACATCACTATATGCTTGTGATAAAAATTCACAAAATATCCCTCCATCATTCACCCGCCATTTACAAATAGTCACTCTTTGATCTATACCTGCAGTTACCAATATATCATCTAACAAAAGTAAACCTGTTATTTGGGAACAGTGATATTTATCTGTATTCCATGTATGTAGGACATTAATTTCTGTTATATTTCCCATATTGTCTTGTATAGTCGCTTGAAGAACAATTAAATGTATTGAATTGTCATCACCACCTGTAGCTATTAGAATATGGCTTTCAGATAATAATTGCGAATCAAAACTGTTAATGCCAGATTTATTTGATGTTGTCGTAAAAATGGCTTTAATTTCTAAGTTTGCAATGTCTGGAGTAATTGTGATATCCCAAAATATTATTTCTCCTCTAGTTGTACAAGTTACTACGAAGGATTTGTTATTAAATTTGATAAAATTTGTTTTGAGAATACATGTTTTATGTTTCAGTTCAGTGATTGATTTGAATTCAGTTTTTGATTCAAGCGTGAGCAGAAATACTCTAAGGTAAGCATCTGAACAACCAGCAAAAAACAAAAATGCTCTGTCATTCAACTTCATCAAATCAATGTCCATAATTCTTGTTTCAGGGTCAAAATCTACAGAACTGTTCCTCCAGTTTTGATTGACTGTTCTCTCTTTATCCAAACCTTTTAATAGATAGTCTATTATTATTTCTGCTCTAGGTTTAACTTCACCTTTTCTTTCGTATGTTATTGTTTTTACACAAATTTGTGCTCTGCCTCCTGCAGATATGACAAGTACTTTATTGTCTTCCAGTTGATACACTTTTAGTGTTCTTATACTTGACAATTGTTTAAATACAATTTCGTCTTTGAATTCCATTTGAGTATTCAGGCTTGATATTCTCAAAGTTGTGTCTTCACCTCCAGAAATGTAAAATGTACTACTTTGATCTAAATCAGGCTTGTAACTTTTCAAGCAATTAATTTGTTTAGCATGTGATCCATTTACTATGTTTCTTGATACAAGTTTGCTCATTTCAAATGTACATAAATGAATGTCTTTATTTTGAAGATAGATAAGTTTTATAACTTCTTCATATTTGCCGTTATTTTTTTCAATATAACGAACAGCATCCCAAGATCTATGTCCACCCCCACATGGGACCTCCAAAAGTTTCGAATTTGATTTAATATCGTAAACAACAAATACTTTCTCTTGAAATCCACAAATTATATTTTCATTTTTGTCCAAAAACTTTTCAAGCCACTTAAATTCCAATTCTCTACAATTCATATATTTGACTTCAGATAAATCTTTACTGATGTAAAATTGTTTAATTGTGCCATCTCTACCGGTTGATATTATTTCGTTTTCTTTGATATTTATGCTGGTAGGGCCATATCTCCCATGAACACTGCGAAATGTTTTGATTGGATTTTTTTGGCCTTTATAATAAACATGTATATTACCACATCTATCACCAACTACAAACACATTTTGCACAAGGTCTATAGCAGCTGCAGTAAGCCACTTTTCTTTGCAAGTTGGTATAACAAAATTAGCAATTGCTTCAGTTTTATTATCCTTAGAAGCAAGGACTGTAATAGTACCATTTTCAGTAGAAATTACTAAATGTCTATTGCCAGACCAGTGCACTGATAGAATTTTCCCAATTTCAAGTTCCGTATTAATAACATTTTGAAGATAAGCAGAATCTTTACAATTTTCAATAAAAACATCTAGTTTCCCATTCATATCAGCTACAGCAATAACTTGTTTGCAAGATGACATACTAAGCATTTTATAAGTTGATTCATGATTTAATTTATATATCATTTTAGATTTTGTAATAAAATCATAGTAAATCAATTCATTGGCTTCATTTAGAACGACAATATTCCTTCTAGCAGTGAAATAAATCTTCTTTGGGATCACTACACCAATATTTAAGATTTCATTCTGGTCAGAATATGAAGATACACTCAGTGGATGTATGATGATGCCGCCGTCACCACCACCAGTCACTAAATTTTCGTTATCAGCGTCTACAGACCAGATACAACCATTCTGATGTGTTATTACCTTTCTCACTAAGTTACCCTTAAGATCCCAATAACAAATAGCTGAATCTTCACCAACAGAAACAATTAAATGTTCAGTAATGCAATTTCTCATAACTCTGGCACTGTGTCCATAGATATCATTTAAGCAGACAACTTCTGCATTGTCCCAATACATTTTTGAGTTCTTTGTGTAATTGAACTTGTTTGTTATGTGCCATATTCTTACAGATCTGTCATCTGATGTTGTTACTATGAGTTCCTTCTGCTGACTGTAGGAAATTGAGAATATTACTCCCTGGAAAGAAATTGGTCTGATTATTGAATTATCATAAAATATCAACAAATGATCTTTATTAAAAGCCATGGTAGCCTAATGGTTTAATCTACCATACCTCAAGCAGAGGCTATGGGTTCCAATCCGAGCTTGCACTTGAGAGTTTCTCTGAATTTATGTGCGAAATTTAATTTGCAATATACCATGAGCTTGTGAAAACATTGTGATGAAACCTACACGTCAAAGAAGGTTCACAACCCTTGGAAAACGTTTCAAGTCCAAAATCCACATTGGGCCAGACTATAGTTATATAGTATAGGGTTAGGGGTATAGCCCTAACCCTCGCAAGACGAGATCCGTGCCCAGCATGTATAAATTGTTTGAAGACGATAATCTTTATTTGACTATATTATATTATATATTAAACTATATTACCCTGTGTCCCCTCAGATGATGTAATGCTTTTCCGCCAAGCCGATGGACAATGACTTCAGAGTATACTGTGCCAGCCAGAACCAGTATGTCATCAGCATCTTGAAGACGCACCAGCAAGCCGCTGTATAAGATGGAGTTGTCTTCGCTGTGCGACTCAGAGATTAGGAATGGGCTTCTGGTCGACCATTTCTGTGAATTTACTGAGAGCTGAAGTATTGGTATCATAATATTATGTATGTGAAGTAAATTGTCTACAAAATAGTCATTACTACTAAACTGCGCCAAATGTTGTCTGTTTTTTTTTTGTTAATATTCATTGGGGTAAATCGGTCATTATAGCAATTTGTTTACTAATAAGTATTACTTATTGCTTTAATTAAAAGAATTATGAAATAAATTAACATTATATGTCTTTGATTAAAAGAAATTGTACTTCCTAGTTCAAATAATGATTGAAGACTGGACGAATGACTTACCTGAACAACATTATGTGCTGTGAGCAAGGCTACAATATTATCATTAATCCAAACTGCAGAATGGAGCCAATCATCACAAGTTACTGGCTCAAATAAACGCTCAAACACAGTAGATTCTTCATCTGTTCTCGAAGCTATCACAGTGAACTGCTTTCCTCCAAAAACCACAATTTTACCTTCACATTTTGCCGACACAAAACCGTATATTTTTTGTCCACGTAATGCATGAATTTTGTATATCAACTTTGTAGATTCTTTATCAAATATATGTGCGGTACTTCCAATGCCTGAAAAGTGAACATGCTAAATAAAAAAATAATTACATTTTGTAATACATAAGACGTGAAATTCTAACCTATGAACTCACCCGCAAACACATAGTTCTCGCAAAGTTTGACCGCAGTAACATCTGTTCGTATAATTATGGACATTGCAAATATATTTATTAAAATATAGAGTATAATAAATAAATAACAAACTAATTAATCATTACAACGTCGTAATATTCAGTCATTTTTGGCACACTAAGATGTGCGTTATCGTAGATAATTTTAATTATTTTAATACTGTCTGGTGTCTATTTGGCTTCACAACCACAGACTATTAGATGCTAACGCATTGTTCACAACCATCACTCGTTTTCTAACCCAGTAAATCCTTTAGACTAAGGAAAATGGAAAAAAAAGGCAAACTTCTATCTTCTTTCGCAATGTATCGATAAAAAACTATCGACAATGACTCATAACTATTTAAAATTGTGTGAAAACTGGCAATCCTACAAATGTCGTTTTACCACGGATTTTTTGTAAACTATTGTTTAGTACGTATATGTTGTAAACAAATTCGTGCATTTTACTTCGTCTTAAAAAAAGCAAATAGAGACGTGATAGCTTACAGGAGTTTCTATAGTTTAGTGTTCTGTGGGATATCTATGGGTATGGGGGACCTGTCTACTACTACTACTACTACTACTACTCTTATGGGGGAGGGTGGGTCGAGGGTGATTCAAATTAAACAAGTTCGGCTATTTATTCCATAAGCGTCAGAGAATAAAAAAGTAAAGAGAATGTACACTCACCGGCTAACTTTACTAGCTTTAGATACCGCACCACGCCCGCCCCGCACATTGACGGTCACATTGACTGAACGACACCAAGTCTGTCGGTGAGTCGTTTTCCCGCTATGACGGCTTTGATATTTGAATATAGTTTTCATTTATTGATTACGGAACTTGTACGTTAATATCATTGTACGTTACTATTTATAGTGGACGTGAATTGTGCTGTGTTCGGCTGTTTATCATCATCTAAACAGAATAAAGAGAGGAGGTTCTTTCATTTTCTGAACGAAAAAACGAAGTAAGTAAAAAAAACTTGTCTGAGACTCATTCAGTTATTGTTTTCTTTTTTGTTTATTTAGTGCAGAGTAATATATAACACAGATTTATTATATCAATATAATGAGACGCAGAATAATCAAAATAGAATTGTAAAACAGGTCGTAATTATTTTAAAACAGTCATTAATACTAAGACATACTACTCTGAATTTTTTTCGAATATGGCGCTTTCGTCTTTTCTACAAAACACCGACGATATATTGATAATATTCCTCGATTCGCATCGGGTAGAGTAAAGGCGATGTCGAATCAAGCCGAGCGATCATCGAATGGATACGAATGTACCGAAACTATAATATTTATATCGCTCGGTTTGATCTTTATGTACCTACAATACACTCATTCTTTAATGCAAGTTGCAATAACAGTTTAACAATAATTCTGGTCTACACAACTGCCTCTGGCTATCCTATATATTTAATGAAAACTTTTATGCGAAGACATCAAGGTACACACAGAATAAAATGTATAACCTATTCAAACCATATTAAAACCACCATAAGCAAACTGTCACTTTGGAAATTACGGACATGAAAGTAGTGAATTTTTTCGTCCTTCGAGACAGTCTAGCGTCTAAGCCATACTAGATAAACAGTAAGCGATCAAATAATGTGTCAGATTTTACGCTTGTAAAACTTTTTGATCATCTGCGGTCGTGTTTGATGCGTTTGTCAAATAATGTACGGATCAAAAGCACGTCAAGCTTGACACTCAAGATTTAAATCCAACTCAACGCGGCTTACGATAAGAACGGTCCAAAGTACAAGTGTCAAGCTTGACGTGCTCTTGACTGTACGTGTTTCATGGGATCTAGATTGACGGCGTGTTTGACCCTTAGAGGAAGGAAAAAAAATAAAAGTTTGACCAATCTCTGGATAAAGATTGGTCAAACCTTTTTTTTTTCACGTTTGTCAAACACACAAATTATCTAAAATTCTAATAGAATTTTAGATAATTTAGATTAATATAGATTTTGGTTTGTGTGTTTGACAAACATGCTTGGCGGTATGCTTGCATGGGCATGTTTGACAAACCAAATTTCAGCTGTCGTCTATGCGTTCACTTCACCTTGTTAAATTCCAAATAGTCATCCTGCTGATATGCGCAATATTTTTCTCTTAATTTTAACCATTTTCTCTTTTTGGTAAAGAAATAAATTTCAATTTCTTAATATATAGTGCTAGAGTTAATGCCAGAAACGCTTTATCTATGTAATTATGACTTATTGTATTAAGCATAGTACGCGGTACGTACGGCTGTAGAAAGAGATGACCGAGTATGAACTACAGGCAGGTTTGTCGAACTTGAGTCATGGTTTATTTCAACGTTTGCGACATTTGAAGAAAACATGAAGTTGAAAGGATAAATTTGACAAATTATTTGATCGTTTACGGGTTTCTATATATTTTCCATTCTCTAAGTTTACGTGGCGCTTTACGAATACGCAACTATTTTCAGAATTTTTTTAGGCCGTGGACTGGTTATGTCGATAATACATAAATTTATTGCTTATAGCAAAGACTTATTGTATTGTAGACCTTAGATTATGGAAAAAATGAAGAATTAGACAGTAAAAACAAAACAAGTACAATGACCTTTATTATGAAACATACTATTTCAATTCAATTCAATTCAAATATTTATTTCAGATAAAATCCATACTATATACATCTATGAAACATAGAGAAACAAAATTTAAAAATTAACGTAAACTCGACAAATCAAATCACATTAAAAACTAGCGTCAGTGACTCAATCACTTTTGAATTGTTCCAATGGATATTGTTCGCCATATTTCTTCAAGTGGCTCTCCATTTGCTGTACTTGTTTTCTGTAAAACAAACAAATAAAACATACATGTTAAGAAATGACATTATGTATATGTATGTGACCATTATATTTGCATAAAAAGTGTTGAACGGTTAAAAAAAATAGGTACTCACTGAAGTTTTGGAGGCATTTCATAATACACTTCTTCGAACATTTCTTTCCAATGTGGTTTCTTCTTCTTTTCAGCTGTTTGCATTGCTTGGACTACTATATTCCTACTCTCCTTCACCCATGTTTTATCTGCCTCGTCGTCCCATAGCCCTGAACCAAAAATGTTTCGTTCGATGTTGACACGCTAATACAGAACTTTTATTATATAAAAACACTTCTACAAAATAACTTTACACACCTTTCTGTTCTAAGTGAATTTTTAATTTCGGAATAGGGCTTTCATCTTTTGTCCATTTTTCAATTTCTTCTACCGATCTATAGGCTGAGCTGTCATCGGAAGTAGAATGATGTCCCACTCTAAGAAAGAAACGAATTATTTAGCACCTGTACTTTGCATTGCTTGCTGCAATTAGTTTGGTAGAAAAATACCTGCTGTTAGGTATTTTTATAAATAATACATGTCTATATTTTAAAAGAAAAAGTATATAAATAATTACTCATAAAAAATATTATTATTTACCTGTACGACATAGCTTCTATTAGGACAGGCTTGTTTGTGCCCACAGAAATGGCCCTAGCTTGCTTAACAGCATTATATACGGCAAAAGGATCGGTGCCGTCGACGCGCGCAGTGGTAATGCCAAATGCTGGACCGCGAGCCGCAATGCCGTCCCCTCGATACTGTTCGCTGGTTGGTGTGGATATAGCGTAGCCATTGTTTCGGCTGCAAAAATTAATTCGCGCATTATAATAATAAATACAGTTGTTTATTTAAAATAGGCTATAACGATCAATAATAGACTTACCAAAGAAGAATTACAGGACAGTCGAGTGTAGCAGCAAAGTTAAAAGCAGGGTGAGCGTCGCCCTCGGATGCTGCACCATCGCCGAAGTAACAAATTACACAGCGATTGTTGTTGGGTACTCGTTTCAAGGCGTACGCTGCACCCACAGCTTGAGACATTTGAGTCGCTGACAATCGAATTATAAAATATACATATTCAAGGCTTGGTGAGTATATCATTCCTCAGAATAGATTAAATAGGTACACAATTTAATCACAATTCAAATTATGTATATACGATGCGTTTAGATCATCAATGAATTTTATAGAAATTCGCTAATCACCACTTGGAAATTTGTAACAAATAATGTATTTTAAAATTGGAAATTTATGATTCTAGTTCATGTGAATTTGTGGTTCGGTTGGTTAATACCGTAACAAAACTTCATTACCTAGTGGACTGGAAATAGTGACAATATTTCTTTGTTTAAAACCATAATGAACAGGCATCTGGCGGCCTCTGCCGGGGTCCTCGTCGTTGCCGTAACACTGATTTACCAGCTCCGTAACAGTGACTCCTCTGAATAACAATACTCCTACTTCTCTGTATTGTGAGAAGACCAAGTCGTCGGGGGATAAAGCCGCAGCACTTCCCACATGAATGCCTTCTTCGCCATAGTTGGTCATATAAAATGAAATTCGCCCTTGTCTAAACAATCAAGACGATCATTTAGTATTTAGGTTAAATTAGTCAGAAATTTATTTTAGGTAGCTAGCAGAGTTTTCGTAAAACATAATAATGCTTACCTTTGGGACTCGTATAAAATCTTGTCCATTTGAGTTAGTTGCACCATGGTCTTGTACATATTAAGTAAGGTATCTTTATCAATATTAGGATCATGCCTACTATCAATAATCTCGCCATTGTTGTCAAGCACACGATATATTGGGATGGGATCGTAACTAGTTTCATTTAAAAACTTTATTTCGGTGATGTACGGCGCCTTGGCACCAGGAAAATCTGCTATTTTAGAAACATTCTGAGGTACATCTGGTTTTGAGCTGGTAGACAAGAGCTGAAATACATAGAATATCAGCTTTAGAACGGCATATTATACATTCATAAATGTAATAAAATATATCAGAAAAAACTATCGATACTTTCACAGATCAAAATTTTGCGTCACTAAAAAGTATCGATAGAAAAGTTGAACCCCAAATCACGTGCACGAAAGTGACGTGAAACTTCATCAAAACCACAGGGTTGTGTGCGTCGTACAATGTTTGTAAATTACACAACACTAACACTACACTATGTTAAGCACGTTGTTACACTGAACTTTTATGTAAACAAAATACCATATTGCACCGTCGCGAAACTAACTCTGATCTCGAATACTGTACCTCGAAGTTTTACCCACCCTGACTGTTGGACGTAGAGCGTGTAACCGAAGGAAACTAGCAACAGTTTTGAGCGCCATATTGCCACTGACGAAATGTACAAACGTAATGAATTAATAAGTTAAAAACATTAGCAAGTAAGATAAGGAGCGCGGCCTTCCGCAGCAGGGTCTTATTATCAGAGTCGTCGATAATATTTCAAGCCTTATGTTATTTGTTTACTGATACGTGACGTCTAAAGAAATCACATCATTGGATATTTATAAAATAAATATTTATGTATTATATACTATATCGATATTGAGTAATATTTTTAAAGATCCATTGATTTAGAACCTGCCCATAAAACTATTTATTTTACATGAGAAATTAACGCGACAACGAATTTTAATAAAAACAGTACTTATTGGTAGTTTTACAACGTAAGTAATGAGATTTGCATAGTCTAAGGGTCGTATTCTAGAACTCTACTCAATGCTCAAGTCAGGATTTGAGTATGGTTTAAAGCACTCGAAATCACACTCAAGTACCTGCCATTAGGGTGTTTCCATTGCAATCCTGACTTGAGTATGATTTCAAGCACTGGAAATACGATCCTAATGGCAAGGACTTGAGTATGATTTTTAGACTAGTCCCAGTTCTGCAGTGATGCTTCATTGCATTACACGTATAAATTTCCAACAAAAGACCTAGGGTCGTATTTTAGAACTCTACTCAATGCTCAAGTCAGGATTTGAGCAGACTTGAGTATGATTTCAAGCACTGGAAATACGACCGTAATGGCAAGGACTTGAGTATAATTTTCAGTGCTCTCTGCAATACTCAAGTCCTGACTTCAGTATTGAGTAGAACACTGGAATACGACCCTTAGTTTGTGTGGTTGAATTTCACTCCGAATTTCAATGGCACTTTTTGAGTGATTTTTGTAAAATCCTTTTTTCTTTTGGTTTTAAGGTTTTAAACGTACAAATAAATTCAGGCAATGTCAATAATTATAAAATCACAGAAATATTTAAGTTAAATACAACAAAAAACGATATTTTAGGTTACACGAATGAGATTGCAGTACCACGGATGATTTTCTCATAAACATAAATGAGAAAGACGGCACAGTAATGAGAAATTATTATTACAACACACATTTTTCGTACAAAAGAACATTTAACATGTAACAAATATTTTAATATAACTTCTTGTATCAAAATCCTTCTCATCTGTGTAAGACCATCTATCTATCTATGTGTAATTAATAAATAAATCTAAATAAGTATTTTGTTAATGTCATATAAACTTTGTTGTACATCAATATATCATCAGCATCATGATCAGCATCATTACCATTCACATGATCATCACAATCATCGTCATCATCACCACCATCATCATCGTCACCACCGTCATCACCACCACTATCACCTTCTAATTGTTATATTTCAAGTTTGGCCTAAAGTAACTATTTGACTTAGAAGTAGACAAGAATGAGAGCGACAATAATGATATTTGGATACATTTTTAATTGTCAAGTGTGTAAAATATGCTGGACCGTTATAAAAGTGCATGGATTTTAAAGTTCCCTTTGTCCGATTGATGTAGAATAAAGTTTATAAAATAGTTACTTAATACTTATTTAGACAGACTGCTTTATAAGAATGAGAACGATTTAGTCACTAGCGCTGAAATTGATATTTAGGTTGATTTTTTGTTAAAACGGAGATGCACAGGTTACTTCACTGTGTACACTCCAATCCGACAGGAGCCCCTTCTCACGTGTACGAAGGGTGAAGGTGATGCGGTATGAACTTTTGGTATCAGGAGGCTTTTAATTGAAGTGACACTAATGATAAGAAAATTTTTAAACACATTTTGTATTCCCAAGAAAACATGTTTGTTTATAATAAATTGGAAAGTTATGGTATGTATTCGACGTTAGATATCGAAAGTTATTAGAGTTTGTCCTCGATAGGAAATATTGTTTTTCCACGAGTGTTTAATTTTTTTTTCTTCTTTTCTTAAAGTTAGGGCGACGTGGAACCTGCTCCCATGAATGAGAAATTGCCCACTTTTTTAATTTTTATTTATTACTGTGACGTCGTAAAATAGTTTTTTTATATGTAACACAGACTCAGTAAGCAAGCAATCATATTAAATAAATAATGCTTAGCATTCATGTAATAACATAAAAGTTATTGAAAGGGACACATTTTTGGATGTTATCTGAAAACGACCCGTGTGCGACGATCTAGAACCAATTTTATTGTTTCGGATGATTTCCTGACTGGTGGTAACGACCACACGAAAAGATATATATTAAAAATGTCGCATTATGTTGAAAAGGGATACCTATGTTTTTAATTGGATCACAAGTACTGGTGATCGCAGACTTCGAAGATTTAAAGAATGTATGTACCTTTACAAGAGAGGTAAATATAGTAATGATATGAATTCAAGACGGAGAATAAACACAGTCAAAAACAATAACTAGAGAGATAAGATTGCGTGTTGTTGGCAACAGCTGAATGTTTTTAATGAGTTGATAATCAGTGTGATATGGTATTTGGATACTGATGAAATATTTTTAGGTAACGTTTTATTAATGTGAAATGTAGTCATGATTTAATGATAAACTTGATTTAATGTTGAACTTATGCACACTTTGTTTCATTTTATTTTTCTGCCAGGTTAAAGGAATAAAAAAAAATGGATTTTTGAATGTATCCGAACTTGACATGTGGCATAAGCGTTTTATTTTTTTCATGGCAACATTGTACTGAAAACGTCAAAGTCTTCATATTATGCCACATGTTATGCGATAAAATAAAGTAGTCACCAATTTGTACGTGGTCGAAGTAAAATAAATGTAGTTGGTAATTTTATAGACTAATAGTTAGTTTGTCAAATGGCAGTGCAGGTTAGAGACGGTTTATTGATATTTGTATTATAGTTTAGCCCAAAAAATGCCTTACTGGTATTACGATAAAAAGGATTTGCAGAACACGCCGTCCTTCCGCGATGGGATCAGCAACGAGACTGAGAATCGGTACAGGAAAGAAGGCGCCCGGTTCATCATCGACACAGGGTCAAAGATGGACTTAGGTTATAATACAGTTGCGACTGGAGTTGTTTATTTTCATCGGTTCTACATGTTCCATTCGTTTCGGACATTCCCGCGGTACATAACGGCGTGTTGCTGTTTGTTTCTGGCGGGAAAAGTGGAGGAGACGCCAAAGAAATGCAAGGACATAATTAAAGTAGCGAAGTCGTTGCTGACGGAGCAGAAATTTGCAACTTTTGGGGAAGATCCCAAGGAAGAGGTGATGACGTTGGAGAGGATCCTGCTGCAAACTATCAAGTTCGACCTGCAGGTGGAGCACCCATACGGATATCTGCTGAAATATGCCAAGTGCCTGAAAGGAGATAAAGGGAAACTGCAAAAGATGGTTCAGATGGCGTGGACCTTTGTTAACGACAGGTAGGGACATATTTTGTATAAAATATCTTAACTAATAAATATGTTTTATTCCTGTATTAATTGCATATGCTGCAATGCTTGCCGTTGTGTTGAAACGATTTGCCAATCGGGGTAAGGTGCACACTGTTTGTTGCCCAAGGTGCACCAGATATACAGGAAAAGAATGGTATGACATGTGGTTCCTTTTGTACACCCCATAATAAATATTTGCCTACATAAATTTAATCTGAAATAGGATTTTGACAAACACTCCTTCAAACCTAGTAGGACCCCACAATTTAGCACATCTATTTTAATTTGAATGTATGCAATATGAAGGACTGATAAATTTTATTTTGCAGTTTATGCACAACATTATGTCTTCAATGGGAACCAGAGGTGATAGCTGTAGCACTCATGTTCCTTGCCGGGAAACTCAGCAAATTTGAAGTGATGGATTGGAATGGGCGGACACCCAGGCACACTGCCTGGTGGGATATGTTTGTTGAAGACATCACTATGGACTTGCTTGAGGATATTTGTCACCAGGTGAATTTCACACAAGGTTTTTTTTTTGTAATATTTACGTTTATTAAATTTCACAATGTGTGACCATCATGCTTTTAAATTTTTTATGTAAATTTACTCCACTGTTATTGTTAATACAAAGATCGAACATTAAGAAAAAATTCCTTCGATCTGACTGGATTTGAATCAACGTCTTCCAGCAAACCTTGCAAGAAGCTATGCCAACCAAGCCATGGAATGAAAGTAGCGGACCGTACAGATCCTTCCATGTAGTTGCAGATCTTAGTTTTTAACGACTAAACCGCAGTGCCATCTGTGATAAATCTATGAAAACTTTGCTTCACTCAGCCAGGCACCTTTACAACTACCAGCAGCTGACTAGAGATGTCGCTTTAACAATTGTAATGTTTTGTTTATTAAAGTGACACTGTTTATGTCAAACTGTGTTCCATGGAGAAGTAAACTCCACAGTAGTCGGTACTGCATATTTTTTCATTGAGCCCACCACAGTCAAGACGTGTGTCCATATATTGTTTAAATTCACCTAGGATAATTTAGTTGTTTATGGTGAAATGAATTTTCCAACACAAGAAGAAATTCAATAACCTCTTTATTCCTGGTAGGACCAATTAATTTGGGAAATGAATTTATCTAAATTGGTTCTGAATTCCCTAGTTTGAGATCAGATAATTGGTGTAGCTGTAGACAACTAGAATATTATAATTATTGTTATTTTGGTGTTTTATCAGTTATTTTTATTATTTATTTATTTTATTTATACATTTTAGGAAAATTCACGGACAAATAATACAATTATAGTAAACTTAAATATGAGTAATCCAATGCCATTTACGAATTTCCACCTACATGAAACAATATACAGTGCTTAGCAAACCAAAAAGAGATTACAGGAAAATACAAAGAACGCAGTCAATAAATTTAAAAACAAAATAAAAATTACTTTCCTAATATAAATTTCCTATATAATTACAGATATACTTTTATTGGCATAATACAACACAAAACCATGCAAAAAATTTGTCATACAAATAATTATGTGACATATAATTACAATTAAAGTTAAAATAAACATACAAAGCTGTACAAAGCAGATAGTCTGGTATGGTCTGTGTTGCAGCGTCATGCGAACACGGGACTTAACTCAGCATATGCTGCAGTAACATACCACAGTGCTGGTTATCAGTAAGCATAGAGCTTGACGCCTGCAACAAATGCACAATAAAAAATATAAGTATAGTATAATAAATACTGCTACATATTACTTTGACTATTATTATATTTTATAATTAATACTTAAATAAATATATTTAAAAGCAAGGTAAGACAAATAATAATTGTGTCAAAATTCCTACATACTAAAACTCAAATATAATTTGACTGTAGTGTTATACTCCATCAGCGAATCTTTTACCTTGAAAATTATGTTCAAATTAGGTCATTTGTTGTTGTGTTGCAGGGAAAGCACACAGCTATGGTTATACAGATATGGTTATTTTTTATTTATATGCAGTATTGTTTCTTGTCTTAACATTGTTAAATATTATGCTAGTAAAATATTCCTACACTACCAAACTTCAGCTGCATTGTGTTGTTGTTGATCCACGAACATTCTGATTCTGGCATTAAGTATGATGATAATTGGACTGTTTGTGTGTTACCAGGTGCTGGACTTGTATTCGCCGCAGACGCAACCGTCAGGTGGAGAGTCACCCCCTCTGCCTCCACCAAACAAGCAGCCAAAAAACGACAAGAAGCCGCCCTCCGTTACACCGCCCACTTCCGCATCGCCTGTCGCGCCTACCGCTCCTAAACCAGTCACCATCACGACCCCTGTCAAAAATGGCGCCGATGTCAAACTGGAACCACCTAAAATAGAGCCTCCGATAAGGTTTAATTATCAGTATACGATGCCGCCGTATCCTCCAGTGTACGCGCCTCCTCCAACAATTCCGCCTCCGCCGAGGCTACCTATGTCGGGTCCACCTCCGATGTATCCGGAGCCGCCGCCACCCGCGTCGCGGTACCCCCCTGTTAATGTTCCTCCCCCGAACTACTTCCCCCCTCTTCCTGGTCGCGGTCCCCCGCCACCCGGCCCACCTCCCCCGCGACCGTACTATCCCCCGCCCTAGCGGAGGGCGGTTCTTTAAGTTTTAGGTTATTAATGTTTAATTTTTTACTGAAATACAATTTAATAGACTGAATTCTTGGTTTTCACTTTATTTACTTATTGTAATGACAAAATTGCAAAGGGGTGTTTTTGCAGAACGCAATAAAATATTGTATTATATTTGTATCATTTTTATTGTCAGTTGGTATATCACAAGTTTAGAAAATATTGCTGATGAATTTATTGATTGACACTTTTATGTATCCTAAGCATTGACTTACAATTATAAGGACGTCGGGTCCGCGCTAAAAAGTGTCCGCACTTGTAAGGCGCTAAAATCGTATGCAGAGCGCGACAGTCCGCTTTAGTCTTCATTTGTTCTACGGACAGCGCGATACTGCGATGACATTACAATTTAAATTTCGAATAGGTTGACTTGGGACATTTTTTTCGTGGTTTTTGTATTAGACCCGTCGTCCATTTATTTGTAAGTCAATGATCCTAAGTAATATTCTACATAACGGGACTTACAATATGGATGACATTCTTGTTTTTTATTGTATTGTTTTTTGTTATAAATTATGATAATACAATGGTCTAAACAAGTGGTACTAAAAATGTTTACTAAAAACAGGAAACCTGTTTTTAAGTCGACTTTCTTGGAGCCTTCATCATCCTGCATGATACAGAATAGTAAAGGCATTTTTTTGCAGAAGTCTATGCAGGGTGGTGAAGCTCGGAAAGGGAAGTTACAATACACTGATGCATTCAAAAGAATCCTTATACTCCATATAGCTTGACAATACTTGCAGTGACTATATTTTAAAAATACTGAAAACCCAAACAGTGCAACGAAAAATTCATGCTTCAAACTGAGCTTAGCTTATACAAAAACATCACTATCGTTAAATGGGGCTGCCGTACGACTAGAAAATACGAAATATTTTAAAACATATGAACACATCTGCACCAGAATAATTAATCATTAAAAACATTGTTTCTACAAGACGATTGCTGCAATACTTTCGTAGAATGAATTTAAAAAACTTCAAAAATAGACTAAACAAAGTTTAGAAACCTGACAGGTCTACGACACAGATTTTCGAAGGTATTTGAGAATTTTAACATTCTCGGCTAAGAGAATAGCTCTTTCAGATACTTTCTATGATATTTTTGATATAAATTCTGTAAATGTAACAATACATGGGAACAGTCTTTTCATTAGCAACCACTACCTTTTTTAGTACTCATTATGTTCAAAAGAATCTTATAAATGAATATTGGTGTTTAATCAATATAAGGACGTGAAGTATAATTTGCTTATGAACTTAATTTCCTGGATTTTAAAAATTGCCTAATATCGGGTATATGACACTAGTGCCAGTAGCTTTTAGTTCATGATTTTTCTTCCTTATACATTTCTGTTCCTTGTTCATCCTCTTCAATACCGTCTCGCCTCACAACCTGTTTGGCCACGGTATGTTGAGCACTGAATGATAACCTATTTTTGGAAAGCTTGTACATGCTTCCGCATGTCGTAGAGGGATTTGACGCCATAGAGAAAAACGAATATGTAACAACGATCCAATCTGACTCGGGTGAATGTCTCTAAAGATTTCCTGTATTATTCCACTACTGGGCACAGAACTCCGAAAGAATCACAGCAACGCCTAAAGCAACTACTTTACTACGTCTTACCATCTATGCAAGCGACTTTTGAGCGTAAAAAACGTAACTTATTCTTTTAAATGTGCTTCAAACTTTAATTCCTTGAGTAAAAATAAAAAAAAATCTTCAAAAACGTTAATTAACAATTAATTACTTACAATTGGATTATTTATAGAATTATTACATTTTTAATGAGCGTTTTAGTTATAAATAGATAAAAAGTAAGATTACAAAGGCACACGTTTCCATCAGATCGTGAATAATCTCCGATTTAAGGCACATCATTTCACTTAGACTCTACAAAGCACGTTACAAAAATAATACTTAACATATCGACTGAGCTATGAATATGCTTAAAACTTGAGAAGTATGACTGAATATAAATAATATTATTAGAAACTTTGGTCGTATCCACTTTAGTGCGCGATTCACTGCCACGGGGACATTTGATACGTACGATTCTAAGCTTCGCCGACATTTTCTTTAGTTTTATATTGTTAGGCACAAAGTTATAAAACCCTGTTTTTCTAGAGCTACGAATTAATACTTTTACTTTAACATGCGTTACATAATAATAAACAAATACATATACAGACGTCGGAAGTTTACAAACCTTATATTACATAGTTACGTTTGAATTAAAAAAAAATTAAATACTTATTATTGTTTATTCATTTCGTGGTATGAAAGGCCATGTAATGACTAGGATAGCAAAAAAGTGATGGTTTGATCGTATGGAAAGGGTAGATGCTAGGAAAATGACGTCACAAATTTATAGAGTGGAGAAAGGTCGACCTTGAGAAACATCTCAACCTCAAGTGAGGCTTATGCTAGAGAGATTTTAAGACTTCCGTGGTTATTCACTAAATGATTATCACTAATTTCAGGTTTCTTACTACGGTATGACTTCTTTTTATTTTCCCGATATTTCGGAACGGTTGCACGCTCCATGGTCACGGGTTGACTGGACGGCGGTTAACCGTGATGATGGTTTTAAACTGTCCAGTGCATGGAATCCGGTCCTTATTGCGTGCAGTAATAAAAACAAAAACACCTCGAGTTCAGTTTCGCGTGTGGATATAGTGAGTGTGGTTTGTGTGAAAAAAGTGAGTGACAATGGTAACGCCACAACAAATCGCGATGAAGCTAGTCGTCGACAGCGCAAGAGAGTAGACTATAAATATAGGGTAGACACATATGTCTGCTCTTAAAGTTGTCATCTGCCGCCGTCCAGTCAACCCGTGACCATGGAGCGTGCAACCGTTCTGAAATAACGGGAAAATAAAAAGAAGTCATACCGTGGTGAGAAACCCGAAATTAGTGATAATCATTATGCTAGAGAGGTATGTCAAGGACGTGGCGGGGTATGTCCGTAATTTCTGCCTACCACAATGGATACGTAATATGTACGTACGTAGAAAGTTCTATTTTCTGAATCCCAGTATATTACAAACAAGCTTATGACGTAGGTGCAATGGTAAAGATAAAAAAGGTAGTAGGATTTGTTAGGGTAGGTAGGGTATGTGTTGTGTCGGGGTGTAGAGTTGAGTGTACTGTGTCAGCAAAAAGGGCTTATATCGCAGTTCAGTTGAACTACAACGCTGATGATTCTGCCAGGTCGTAAACTGATTATCTAGTACTCAAAACATCAAGATCGTTCCCCGTTTTTTGCTTTTCTTTTCTGGGTGGTCGATCTGTCACCGTAATGAAGAGATAAGACGTGACAACATAATGTACGGCACATTAGCACATTAGCTTAGGTACTTATGAAATCAGAGGAGCTTATTGGAAGGCCTTAAACTTTCGACATCTGTTAAAAAGCTCGTTTAGGGCAATACAATATCAAAATACAACGACAATCTTAAACAAACAAAATATGCATACGAAATTCCTAACATTTTAATTATTGTACATTCGAAGTCCAATATTAACTATAATACATTTGAAAATACATTCATTTACAAAATAAAATAAAAAAGCACTGAGTTGATTTTATTTCAGTCACTTTCAGATGTGAATATTTCCATAGTTTATTTAATTCATAATTTCAATACTATTTTTCATTGAGTTTTGTTTTCTTTACAGAAAATAAACTTTATGTGTATCTAATCTATTGTTTTGTGATTAAATTACAAGAAATATTCTTTATTGCACATTGGGTAATAAAAAATTAAAAGAATTAATGCTGAGTTACTGTACATAAAAAAAAAATATATATAAAAATTGTTATAATGCTATAAGAACGAAGGCTACCATTATCTCACTCACTAGAATCAGTGCCGGATTAAGTAAGTACCTTGGGTGCCCTGAGAATTTTAAGTTATGTGGTGCCCCAGATTTTGTTCCTTACGTAAAATTTGCCTGCTGTCATAATTACATGGAGCGAGTTCTAAAATGTATGCAATTTTGAAAACAACTTGACAGTTCGCCGTCTTTAGGCAGTGGTCCGAAAAGGCAATAAGAAGTGGGCCCTTTTTAATAAAAATGTATCTGTATTTTACATTTTTGTATATTTTTGTTTTTGAGGTGGGTTTTGTGATTGAGTTCCGAGGAAGAAGCCAGAGAAATCGCAAAGGCCCAGTTCTGGAGACTTGGTGCCCCACGAGACTTGACGACCTAAATAGTTGCTTACTTAATCCGGCACTAACTAGAAAGCCTATATCAAGCCATGTACGTTCCATTATTGGCCTCTTTTAAGGCTGGGGCTAGGAAGCCTATTGTAATTGCCACAATAGTCAATCATGAGATCATAGTTTGTGTCATTCGCAGGTTATAGTACCTTAATATTAAAGGATTTTAAAGGTACGTTAATTTTTGCACCAGTGCACGCCACTTTGGCGTCATAATTGTTTGAGCGCCTGGCAAACGTTTAATAAAAATCTACCTTGTTTTATCCCGATTAAATAAAGGTGTATTTTGAAGTCATCGGAATAAGATTGATTTTTATTAGACGTACAGGTAGTACTGCCACTTATCGTTTGGATTGCGTCGAAGTCGACCGTACCTGCGGAATTAGATATTACAACGTCGGCGGTGAGAAATATGAACCTTGTTCGTCGGCGGCGTTCAGAAAGGTAGCCTTCGATAGTTTCGAAGGAGGCGGATCATATAAGCCTGGACTGCTGGAGATACCGTAGCAGGACTCGGTGCAGGAACTTGTACTGTTGCACGTTCTGGACGAGGTTCGCGCGCTGCTGGTGCAGCATGCCGATAGTGCGCGGGATGTCGAGCTCCTGGGGGCGAGAGGGCCGATCAGGCGCCGGGCGCGTGTCGGGCGCGAGTCGGGTGCGTGTCCGGCGGCGCGCTCACCTGGTTGTTGTCGAGGATGTGCAGCAGCAGGTCGGCGGCGAGCGCCGTGCCGCTGCGGCCCGCGCCGGCCGCGCAGCAGAAGGCCACGGGCGCGCCCGCGCCGCCCCGGCCCCAGGCCGCGCCGGCCTCGGCGTCGCCGGCCAGCCGCAGCGCCGTCAGCTCCGTGGCGAAGCCTGCACACGCGGCGGGTGGGGGTGGGTGGCGGCGGCCGGGCGGGGCCGCCGCGCCCTCGCGCGCACTCACCCAGGAACAGGTCGACGTCGGCGGGCGCGGGCTGCCGCTCGGGCCAGCTGGCGAAGTGCACGTGCCACAGCGTGCGCGCGCGCCCGCCGCTGCGCACGCGCAGGCGCAGCGAGCCGCCCCACGCCGCCACCGACAGCCCCAGCGCCGTCACCTGGAACTGCGCGCGCGCTCGAGTCTCGCCCGGCCGGTCCGCCCGGTCCCGGCCGGTCCCGGCTCACCTTGCCGAACTCCGCGGTGGCGTTGTCCGGGGGCAGGTACGGCGGGCGCTGGTCGCCGCCCACGAAGGCCAGCAGCCGCGCGCCCACCTGCCACGCGCACTCCCACAGCAGCGCGCACTGCTCCACGCCGGCCGGCGAGCTGTACAGCTTGGGCGCCTTGCCCGACCCCACCTTTATCACGACGTAGAAGCGCTGGGTGCTGCCCACCGTCATCTGCGAGAGCGTACAGAGCGTAGCCAATTTTTCTTTAACACGCCCTAGGGACACCCCGTATCGCGGACGCCGCGGACGCACGTAGGTATACGACCACAAATTACCCAAACTCACGAGAGCCGGGACCTCTACGTGGCAGCCCAGCATGGCAGCCGTTCGACCACGGAGGCAGTCGAATAGCTGCCACAGACGAAATAGCCTCGTTGCTCAATACAAATTTCTTCTACATATTTTCGTAAAGTTTATTCTAACGACGATTTAACATCGCAATCGAAGACGTTAATATCACAGCAGAGCTGCGCGTTTCCAAAAGCAGCCGGTAGTATATTTTATGAGCTGTAATTTAATAATTAACTAAATCGGAAATCAAAAAAAGCAACGTGAACGGGAGCACTCAATTACGCTTATTATTATATATTGCAGATTCCCCTGAAAGGAATGGGCAAGAACTAAACGGGTTAATACCACGGATACGGGTAGATAATCCACAGCGAAACCCGGGTGATGGCCCCGTAAAACGCTCAAAATTCCCTACAAGTAGACAATACTCACAGTCACATGTGAAGCGTTAATGTACCCGTGCGGATTGGCAGGCGTCGGCGCGAGTCGCACCCGGTTGTCCTCGTAGGGCAGGTTGTCGGAACTGAAGGCGTTTAAGGGCGCATGCTGCGGCAAGAGCGCCGTCCGGAATTCGCCCCCGCGCTCGCGGCCCTTCGGGATCTGCTCGAACGCGAACGACAGCTGCTCGTCCGTCATCTTCCGCTCGAGCAGTTGGCACTGTGTAAAAAGAAACGTGTGCCAACCTAGCTTTTTTTTTTTTTTTAAATGTATGCATTGCCAGTTGTCCTCCGACATAATCAGAGTCTTTTCATAGCTTGCACGGTCGTAATAATCATCATTTGACTTGCTATATCATAGGGGTCTGTTGTATACATGAATATACACAGTCAGTACCTTTAGGAGAGAAGTTGCACAGAGTCATTATAATAGTAACAGAATATTTACATGATTTTATATACTATTAGTATATTATTATTATAATTTTTTTTTTCCTTATTGTTGCTATTTCACCTTGCCTTATTTTATATTTCCTTAGATCTATCAACATCTGATGTTGATAGATCTAAGTTGTTGTTGACAACATCTATCTAATTTATTTACTTTCTATGATCTTAGCTATGTACTGTTTCATTTTTACTTATTTTATTTGTTTTATTTTTTATTATATTTTTTCTTTTTAATACTTTGTTTATTTTTTATTTTTTTTTATTTTTTTATTTTATATACTGACTGTTCTTTTTATTTGTATTACTTTTTTTTTCTATTTTAAAAAGGGTTTGCTTATTTACCTACTACATTTATGTCTTATGTAAACATCTGAGTATGCTATCATACTTAGTGTTTACATTTTTTATGCAATTCTTTCTTCTACTACTGTTTGAGTTTTGTTTCGTGTCATAAAACTACTAATTCCATTACGTAACCAACCTAGCTTTGGCGGGGCCGTAACAGAAACTACCGTTACCATATTAACTCGATCGACTAATCACTGCTCGGACGTTAGCTTCACAACTCGGGTCAAGATAAATTGGTTATTAACCCGTCAGTAAGGTCGGTTCTCAGCTGTCTGACAGGTGTGGTTTTCAGATATCCCACACACAAACACTTTAAGAATTATCGTTTAGGAAATCAACGCTAACACTAAAAAGTATTCAACGACTTCCAAAGCTGCACATCATTTAAAATTTTTTAAGACACCTTTAAAATTCACACAGAACCCTGCGGAATTCAAATGTTTTGTATAAAAGGTGAAATTTTTTAATGAATTTTCAAAAGCCGAAAATATAAAGTCGTCGACTTCACAGACGCGGTGTATCGATGTCAACAAATGAAATGTGAATGACTATGGCCGCCTAATACGCGAAGTCCATCAAATGCATTTGGATTCTAGGAGCACTGTATTAGAGTACATATAGTATCTGACTGATGAGAATTTACTAACTTCCAGGACGCAAATATTTAGTGACCTAAATATTTGTGTCCTTGAAATTAGTAAATTCTGTTTAATTTTAACCTAAGCTCGTGTATTTTAAATAAAATAAAACCGATTTGACATTCAATGAATAATATTACGGGTGTTGTTCTAACAAAGCATAATATTTTATTTATTTCTTGAGGAATAATAATCGTATGTTTGATCCACAAAAAAATCATCTATTATTTAAGGAAATTTGAAATTCTATATATTTTTATTGCTTATTTATACATTTTCTTGTAAACATAAGAGATGCATACGATAAAACGAATTTAACATTTTGAATAATTGTTTTTCTACTCCTGTAATTCAATCTGTCAATTATAATTTCATAAACCATATTACAAAGGCGCTTTTTTAGTTCTGAACTAAATTCTAATGTATATGGTACTGGCGACTACCAACAGAAATAAAAAAATTACGTCGTTTTTTTGCTAAAAAAGAGCCTCCGTAAACGCTTCACTGTGTTCCTGGACGGAATAAACTCACTAATGTGAAATTATTCATATTTAAATTATTTTATTAAATAATATCTCAAAATGTCATAAGAGAAAAAGTGGCAAAAAAGAACTATTTAAAAACAATATCAAATATGACGCTACACAAACGTTCTACTGTCTCCTAATTGGTTGAAATGTAAGTGGTACTGGACCAATCACGGACACTGCAATTCTATCTCTTTGTTTTTTTTTTGTAGCGTTTGTTTGGCTTTCATTTGAGATTGTTGTCGTGGATTGTTAACAAAATTATCTTTAAATATTCGTTGTGTTTCATTATTTTAATTTACCTTAAATCTCGTACCTATTAAACAAATTTGCGGTATCCTATTAACATGGTATTCGACTTTCCCAACCCACATTATGCAACGATTGCATAAAATACAATTTTTATTTGTGTGAACAGCTTTAGCATATATTGTTGTAAAGCATTCTGTTTCGATTTCCATTGTACGTCAAATAACCTCTCAACATCCATTACTAAGTGGCCATTTATCACGTACACGTTAAAATGTTTACGATTATTCAACCAAACATAATAAAATTGGACGCGCACGAAACTTACGGTTTATTATATACTACTACATGTAATGTTTACGTAAAATAGCTAAAAATCAAGGTGTGCGTTTTCCGAACAACATTTTTATTCACAGAGGTGCAGCCAGTATGCGTCTCAGGAATGAAATGTGATGAAAAATACAATTGCATGGTGGCTAACTTGACTATAATGCCTCAAATAGACCGTCGACTCTTCTAATAGACCGTCGCTAGTAATTTCTTATTTACCGTCCTTAATACACAATGTACTATTTTCTGTTTAAACGCTCTGCGGCCTTTGCAACTTTCTTTTTGTCCTTGCCGTTAGTTTTGTGCGACTCGCGATAACGGCCTACCTACGACACATCGACAAGTAAGTAAATAAGGCACGGCGTCATTAACAAACAACAGAAGTTACCAGAGTCTCCTTGGTGATGCTGGGCGGCAGCGGCTGGAACTTGGGCAGGCCGGTGGACCAGCGGTGCTTGTTGGCGGGCTGCGCGGCGCCCGCCTTGGCGCGGTCGCGGCCCAGCGTGGCGCTCTTGACGTCCGCGCCCTTCGCCGCCCGCCCCATGAACACGCCCCACCGCCGCCGCTTCTTCTCCTTGCCGGTCTTGGGCTCCGGCTCGCCGGTGCTGTAGGTCGAGTTCGCGACGGAACTCGACAAAGCACTCTCGGCCCCGCTGCCCTGCGACACGTTCGCGTTGCGGTCGCCCTGCCGGACGTCCGGGACGCTGATCGAGGTCACGTTGTCGCTCGTCTTTATCGTGTTGTTGTTCGACACCTTGCGGGTGGACAGGCTCTGGTACGGCGTCTCGTCGTAGTCTTTCTCGTCGGTCTTCAGCGACAGCCGGTCGATCGACAGCGCCACGTTTTCGAACTCGTCCTTGTCGGTCGACCGGTTCGAGACGGTCAGCTCCCGGGGCGCGCTCGACTCGCGGACGCCTTTGATGATCTGCGCGTTCACGTAATGGCCGTCGGGGTTCTCGGTCTTCACCGGCGCGCGGTAACTCGGCGGGTTGACGTTCGGTTTCAAATTCCCGTGTTTGTTTATCGTCGGGTGGCTGCCGTTCCTTTCGTTCAGTCTCGCTATTTCGTCGGTGGTCGTCAGACTCTGAGCTCGGTTTCTCATTGTGACCTTCCCGGGTTCGTTTTGCCAGGGCAGAGGTACGTTCTCGTATATCGGCTCCTGCGTATCGCTAAGCTTGCTCACTTGGGGTAGCACCAGATGCCGCTGGTACGGCACTCTGTGCATCGGCATAGAGTACATGATGTTCCCTCGTTCGTCACAAACTTTTTGGAAGTTATCGGACACGTGATGAGGGTCCAATATTATGTGCGGACTTGGATCCAGCACTGACGCCAAATTGTTGTACGTGCCGTGCGTAGCGGGCATTATGTTGGGTCGTCCGTAATTTAAGACGTTGTGACCGGGATTGATATATCCTAAATACTGTCTGTTTAGAGCGGTTCTAGTCGACACCAAGTCCGGACTTGATCCTGACACGTGGGAGTTGATGTACCCTCTGTGGTAGTTCAACGCTTGGCTGGCGACAGCGAGGTCGGGCGTGGAGTTTGAAGCTAAACCGTTGGAAGGGTACGGAGGAGGAGGTTTGTATACGTTGACGTAGTGTAGTTGAGGGTTGAGTTCCGTTTGTACGTTCGGGTTCATCGCGAACGGGTAGTTAGTGCCTACGAACTTGAGACCGTATGCGTAGTCGTCAGTTGCCGCTACTCCTTGGTTCATGGTATGCCTCGTAACGTCTGGGTAGTGGATCCTAGGGAATAAAGAGGTTTATTTAATAGATAGATACATGCAATTTCTTGTAGCAAAAAGCGTGGCAAGTCTACGAAGACACCTGGCGGAAAAACGCGTACGCAACGTCACCAGTGGGTCTACTCTCATTCTCCGTCCGAAAAAATAACTGTCAAATAAGTAATACTCGACCAAATTAAAAGACGCAAGATGCGAGTGAAGCTCCATACTTACGTGAAGCTCTATATTAACGTCAGACGGAGAACGACAGTAGACCCCCTGAGACGAACTGTGTGACATTGATAACTTCGCTTGAGAACATATATGATATTTTTAGGTCGATAACTTCGCCTGAGATCATCTATGATACATTTGTAGGTTGATAACTTTGTTATATAGATTTTAAGACTTTCGTGGTTATTCACTAAATGATTATCACTAGTAACAGGTTTCTTACCACGGTATAACTTCTTTTTATAAAAAGAAGTTATACCGTGGTAAGAAACCTGTTACTAGTGATAATCATTTGATAACTTTGTGCCGGTTGGTAACCGTGATATATTTATGGCTTGATAAATTTGTCCGAGACTAAGGGTCGTATTCTAGAACTTTATTCAATGCTCAAGTCAGGATTGCACTGGAAACACAAGCACTGGAAATACGACCCTAATGACAGGGACTTGAGTATGATTTCGAGTGCTTTAAATCATACTCAAATCCTGACTTGAGCATTGAGTAGAGTTCTAGAATACGACCCTTAGTGTGTTACATTTATTGGTTAATAATTTTGTCCGAAATCAACTATGATACATTTATGGGTTGATAACTTTGCCCGAGAACATCTGTGATACATTTCTGGGCTGATAATTTCACCCGACACCAACTGTGAAACATTTATGGGTTGATAATAATTTTACCCGAGAACATCTGTGATACATTTCTGAGTTGATCGAGGGAGTCCCTCGAGATCAAATGTGATAACTTATGGGTTGATAACTTACCGGTGTATATCAGGATGCGAACCATAGACTAGTGGTTTGCTATTCACCATGGAGGAGTGGGTATGGTTCTGGTACCGTAGTTGCGCCTCGGTCCTTTGCTGCTGGTACTTCTGTTGGATTGCTGTTTCGTAGTCTGGTGCGGGCCGGTACGAGGGCAGAAGGGCACTGCGGACGGAGATCAAGAGGCATAAGTATGGGCAGTTCTTTGTTAGATCGTTTATCCACGTTGTTGTTACGCGCTTCAACTGTTTTTGAATCACATGGAGACTTTTAAGTTCATCGATGATCAGAAAACATCGTGAAGACGCATATCCCCAAAAAGTCCCCAAGACATTTTCATGTGGAACTGTGCGTTAATTGAAGGTCAGGTCAGGTCTTACCGATTCCTCGGCGGCGGCTGGTCCGCCAGCTCAAGGCAAGAGGTGGAGTGCGCTCTGTGCGACGCCGTCAGCGGCTCCAGCCGCACGCTGCTGCCCAGGTCACGTGAGTCCAGCTCTTCTCGGCTGTCTGACAGACCATGATCCTGGGGATAAATGAGCAGTTTGCAAAGGTAAAGGATTTTTCTCCGCCAATCTTAAACCAATAAATTAAGTTTACCAAACAAATAATTTATCTCCTAGACATCGCGTCGTCATGCTTTTTTATTTCCTTGACTCAGCTATTTGTGGTTGCGTTCAGATCTTCCTTAATGCAGGCGTATGGGCACGAGGGAAACACCACAGATTACAGTCCTGCTTGTATTGTTAACATGGACTGAACCAAACAAATTAATTACCTAATAAATAAATCACTCTGAGTGAAAATCTCAGTATTTCATTGGGAAGTAAATTATACTTGACATCGTTGTTTTTAATTCTAATGCACAATTGCTACGAAAAACTGTAGCAATACCTCTCGATACTTTTCACCAAGAAAGCAGTTCCAGCGAACTATTTACTTTTACTTTTACACTGCTTCACTAAACAATAGAAGTCTTTATAAAAAATATACGCACCAATAGTGCACGCAACTGTTCTAACAACAAACAAAATACAATTCTCCACGCTGCGCTGTGGCGCTCGTCAACACCATAGACGAATCGATATCAAGCGGATTTGCACTTTATTGCAACTAGTCTAATTATAAATTAACATTGATACATATTTGCTTCAGATTCAGAGTTGTTTTCGATGCTAGGTTTGTTATTTGGATACGACATTTTGACGAATGAAAACGCGTCCTCCTCCAACAAGTGTGGTGGAACAACAGACCGGGCGGTGAGTAGTAAGTTTTTCTTTATCATATCAAGTTACAGTGTGACACGCATGAAACGCCTATCCATTGCCTATACATAACAGAAAGTACGAAAAGCGTAAAGATCCGTCCGAAACAATTTCTGTCAAATAACTAATATTCGACCAAGTTAAAAGACAATGGCAAGTATGAAGTTTCATTAGCATCATGCGTTTTTTTTATTGGGTCGTGTATTACTTATTGTACAGTTGTTGTTTCGGATGGAGAATGAGAGTACAGGGCCAGGTAGGCCATAAGTGAGGCGGCAATAAGTCCAAGTGTAGGAGTCGAAATGGTGAGACTTCGTATAATCAATTGAATCTGAACAATTGGCAGAATGAGAATGAACTTCGAAACTGACCAACGGAAAAAACTGATTCGAAATTTCAATTTAAAATGCGGAGCCCAAAATGTGATCGACCGGGAGCAGGAACGCTTCTAGAGCCAAGGTCGCTAATTTATGGAAAAATTGGTTGTAGAAGAATAACAGATATGTCAATCAACGTCAACAAATCAAAATATTAAAAACGAATTTTGTCCTCAGTGGGATAGAAGCCAAAACCTAGAAAATTGAATTGAATATGTTTAGAAAGTGAAATTGGTGAAATAATGCGTAATTAGTACTTGAAAAATATCAGTGCAGAGATAAACTATCAGTGCGATAGAATGTGTAGAGGTCTGGAAATCAGACTTGAAAAATGAGAAATGTGTCAAAATGAGAAAAATAGCTTATCAAGGCAATGGAAGTATTTTGGGCATTAATTGTATAGTAAATATTAGTTAGAACTCTTTCAGGAATCAGGAAAAGTAAGCGTGTTTCTTAGGAACGCGTAATGGTACAGATGAAGATGATAAGGAGTCCATGGCACTTATTTTTCCCGTTTTCTACACATTAACACAATTTTGGCAAAAAAGTTGATTGACCCATGAACTGTACAACACCTTTTCAGAGCAATGCCACCATAAAATGTTTCGGATACGCCCCGTGACGTCTCTATTCTAAAAACACTGAAAGTATTTAACGTTCGAGCGCAAACATATATCTCTACATCTATAAAATATTCCATGTACGTACGTCGCTGCGCTCGCGCAGGTGCCGTCGCGAATCAATGAATTATGACTGTTTACAACAGCGTTAAAATTGGCCACAGATAAAATGATAAAACGTTTTAAACGAGAAAGGTTACAATTGGATAATGCATACTTAATCATTAAAAACACGGTGTAATTAGCTTACTGGTTTATCTTAACGATAGAATGGCAGACAGACGATAGTAACGTATCCTGCGAGACATCAGAAACCCCGCCCTTATTATTGAACGATCATTTTAAGTATACTATAAAGCAGCAATTCATTTAAATTACCATTAAAATATTATATTTTCAAGAAATGAATAACACAGGTCCGCAAAAAATTATTTATAAAAAGTTCTGATTTCAAGAATGACATTGATTATTTGGTTTGTCCGCATAATAAGGGGAAACTTAATTTTACTATTACTTAACTATTTACACAACACATAACCTTAATATGATTGTAAGTTTTTTAACCGACTTAAAAAAAAAGAGGAGGTTCTCAGTTCGACTGTATGTTTTTTTATTTTATTTTTCTTTTTTGTATGTATGTTACGCGATAACTCCGGTATTTGTGCACTGATTTTCATGATTCTTTTTTGTTGGAAAGAGGGTGCCTCCATAGTGGTCCCATTTAATTATGAAGAAAATCATCCACCTTTAAGGGTGGCTGTTCACGCACGAAGATTTTTTTATAAATAGCGCTTAAATTTTATTATAAGGAGCAATTATTTTAATGGTTGATTTTACTATTCTCTAATTGAAGGCGTTTTTCTTTTCAATTCTCTCATTGAGTAGTGAGAACCGATTTTTATTATATATAGTGGCGAACTAGGTGATAAATCCGGGTTTGCGCTCTTTCCGGTAACCGATGTCAAAAAAACTTGGCAAATAGATGTAATTCCACGTACTTTTGAGGTCGGTTTTTTGTGTACTCTTTACTGAGATTATGTTGGAACGTTGTTTCCATCAAAACTTGTTTTAGTAGCATAGCTCCTTGTGAAAGAGTTCGTCCAGGGAACTACTGCCACCTTACCTATTTCTGCCGCCAAGCAGTAATATGAGTTATTACTATATTCCGGCTTTGAAGGTTACCCTTCATCCACTCTTCTTCTTACATACGTCTTGTAAACTTATATTTCAGGGTGACGGGCGCAGCGGCAAGGCCCCTCAGATCTTTGCGATATAAAGCTCTGAGCGGCACTGCAACTGTTATGGACAGGCGTGTCGTTTACCACCAGTGCACGACTTATTTGTCCCGTCATTTGGTATCATAAAAAAAACACTTGTCCTGTTGTGCATAGAACAATAACACAACAATACAGCAAAACAAAGGCTGATTCTTGGTGCCATCCTAAGCTTACCTTGTTTACATTGTCAATATTTTAATATTCTCTAGATTTCAAATGCTAAAAAACAGTTTGTACGTATGTCAAGTAAAGCTTGAAATGTTTAACTTTATTGTGTGATTTGTAGGTAAACTAAAAGTGATAGATTATTATTTTCATTTTCCCTTATCATCACAAAAAATACTACAGAGATGCACTGGGAAAAATTACAAGCATTTTTGCATTGCAGACCGGTGTAATTCGTCGTCGTTAACTGTACTTCCCAAAAACTACAATACGGGGTTACTCAAGGCTAGAGCGAATATGCATTTTTCGAATAAACACGTACCATTGTTAGCCACATCGTAGCTATAAACATCAGTGAATTTATGTGTCACGCGTACGTCTCTTTTACATTAGAAAAAATAATAATGAAGGCGAGTTGCAACAAGCGCAAATAGCTGTAGTTTAAAACACGCAGCACTTTCTTCGCTGCATTCCTTGCCGTTAGTGGCGCTGAAATGTGTCTTCATCGCCACATTTACGTACAAATGCTTATTATTCCAACTTAATATTGTTTGGTTTTGATGTAAATTGTTTCAGGATTTTCGTATCGTTCCCGACTCGCACTGGACCGGTATAAACATTCTGCATAAACATTATGAAAACTTTGTCAGCCGCAAGGCGGATTACATTGATTCAACTCCTTCGACGCTTTTATAACCTGTGTATTACATTGATATTAATGAATTTGAACGTAGTTAAATCAACAGCACCTAGAGTGCCGAGATTTTGATACACGGACGATTTATATCATAGAACTCATATAAATAGTAGCGGTAGAGCTCCATGAGAAAAGAAGAGAGAAAGATTATCAAAGGAAGTACTGCCACCATACCCATTTCTGCCGCGGTAATGCGAGTAATGTTATACGGTAATGTTATACGGTAATGTTATACTGCGTTCCGGTTTCGAAGGGTAAAGGTGCTGGTGATACTACAGGCACGCTGGATTTGTCGTCTTTAATGTTAACTGGTGCAGTGGAAGTGCCCACAGGGCCATTAGTCGCTACTAAACACGATTCTAGTGGCGGAGTCAAGCCACCAGTCGCAAACAATACTGGCTGGATGCGGTCGCGGCCACTAGGATGGCCAGAATCGGCCATTTTCCCGAATTCGTCATTTCGACGTGAAAATAGCGCATATTTTTAACTTTAGATTTCATCATCATCAGCCTATCGCAGTCCACTGCTGGACATGGGCTTCCCCCAATGTGCGCCATTTCGCCCGGCCCGGCCTTATTGCTCGAGGTATGTCGGTGACCTTAGTTCTCTGTCGGATAACCTCATTACGAATTTTATCCTTCAGAGAAACTCCGAGCATATCCCGTTCCATGGCTCGCTGAGCGACTTTAAATTGGTGGACTAACCGTATCGTGAGTGTCCTGGTCTCGGCTCCGTAAATTATAACAGGTAGGACGCACTGGTGACGAGAAGACTCGACGTGGCTTCCCAAACGCTGCCCATCCAAGCTGAATTCTCCTCCTGGCTTCCTTCTGGAAATTGTTACTACCTAACTGCAGAATCTGCCCGAGGCAAGTGTATTCGGAAACAACTTCAAGAAGGTGGCCATTTACGACCATGGGTCTCGGGTCAACGTGATCATTCATCATGACTTAGGTCTTGTCCAAGTTCATTTCGAGACCAATAAGTCGCGAGGCGGAAGCTAGGCCGTCCAGCATCTGCTGTAGTTCCTCCAGCGACTCCGCCATTAGGACTATGTCATCTGCAAATCGCAAGTGTGAGATGTACTCGCCGTTAATGTTAATGCCCATAATTTTCCTGTCCAGCGTCTTAAACATATCCTCCAACGCGGCTGTGAACAGTTTCGGGGATATGTCATCCCCCTGTCTCACTCCTCTGCGTAATCGGATGGGTTTCGACTGCTGGACCTGTACTTGGACATTTATAGTGGCGGCGTTATACAGACATCTCAGCACTTCGATGTAACGAAAGTCCACTTGGCACCGCTGCAAGGATTCCAAGACAGCCCAGGTTTCGACGGAATCGAAAGCCTTCTCATAGTCCACAAAGGCTAGACACAAGGAGCGATTATACTCTTTTGACATCTGTATAATCTGCCTTACTGTGTGTATGTGGTCTATGGTGCTGTATCCCCTTCGAAACCCGGCCTGCTCCGGTGGCTGAAACTCGGCGAGTCTTCTGGCGAGACGATTCGTAATGACTCTAGAAAACTTTAGATTTACTTTGATTGAAAAGTCACGATTGTTATATTCTAAAAGATAATACTGGTGAAAAAGACGCTATAAGCAGCTAAATATTTATTTCTTGCTAAAACCAAATTTTTTTCTAATAAACATTCATAAAATTCCCTAGATGTAGTTACTAAGTCAGACAGCACTACAGGCGGGTGGGGAGAAGCTGGTGGCTGTGGTCGAGTATGCGCGGGAGGCGAGTGACGCAACACTCCTGCGGCTTGTGGCTCAGACGTGGCCGCTCGAATGCTGAATTTGATTGTAAAATGTATGAAAAATCTCGTCTTCAAAAATCTGTGTAGTGTGTTTTTATTATTTTACGTAGTCTGTATACAATCGAATTTTGTTGTTGCTTTGATATGTTCACATAATATGTATACATTATATGTATATATATTATGTGAAATACGTATCAAATAGGTTATTTTATAAGATGCACTATTTACACTTTACTATGTATATTATTATCTCAATATATAACTTAACGCATAGTCGTTATATTTTTGCTTTCAAATAACTAATCCCTCTCGTTGGTCCTGACTGAAAACCAGGGCCTTAGAAAACTTTGGCATATGCTGAGTCAGCGCCGTTTCACTGCCATGACAATCATGTTTTGTTTTTTGTTTTATGCTCAATCTGTACTTGTGTTATATCAGTGAATACAGTGTTTATCTATCTATCTATATGAACTTGTGGTCGCGTTTAGTGGCCACTACAGTGGCCCAATGGGCGGACGCCCTATAGGTAGACATGACGCTTGCCATAATAAAAAATCGTTTCGAATAACATGAATTTATTTACTGTCTCACGCTGGATAGGTTGTTTTTAACATCGCCATTGACTTTGTTTACAGTAAGGTGCGTATTCGTAACACCGACGCGGTCCATTTACATTTACATATGCAGGTTACGCGGCTCCTTGCCAGTTTTTAGCAAATTTGTATTTGAATTAGAAAAGAATTATTTCTAGATAGAAACGTTTCAGACAAAAGTACTCAGCGTCTAATGTAAAATACAGCGGTGGCCCGTTTTATATTTTACGAAGTACAATACATTACATTGTTATAAAAACAAACGTCAATGTTACATTACTTTTTGCTTGCCTTAGCCTGAACTCACGTGTAATAGTAGATCAGAACTCTACCAAGAATAGCACGTTAGACACTCACCTGGAAGTTGGGCCTGTGTTCTTCAAGATGTGCGGGTGCCAGCGCGGGCTGGTGTCGCATGTAGAAGGTGTGCTGCTGCACACACATACGCCACACGTACTTTCCGTCCTCGGGGCTGGCCAACGCGAATGATGCTGACTCCGATTGCTTTTGGCATTCTATGCTGAAGGTTCGCTTGTGATTTATTACGTTTGTTATGTCCGTCCATCTGTGGAGATAATGGTTTATTCAGTTTTGGATTTAGATGAGGTGGAAAGGCCGGGAAAAGATGAAGCATTTCAAAGTAACTTTGACACAATAAATACACTTAATTCATTACGTTATGATTTTTTTAATAAAAAACTGACCTCAAAAGTTGGTACATTTATTTGCCAAGTTTTATTGAAATCGGTTATCGAAGAGTGCACGAAACCGGTTTCATCCCCTAGTTTGTCACCCTTAGAGGTGGAATATTTCCTACAAATTGAAATGGGACCAATACTGAGGTATCCCATTTCCAACAAAAATTATTAATTTTTTTATTTATTATGAATTATCAAAATCGGTTCACACATGGAGTTATCGCGTAACACACATACAAAAAAAACTGTCGAATTGAGAACCTTCAAAAAAGGCGTCTTTTTTTGAAGTCGATTAAAATAAGCAGATTATCTGCATCTCGCATGTAAATGTGAGATAATTAATTTAGTTCCAATCGAAAGTTTTGTGAATGTTCAGTAACAGTTTCCTCACGGCGCTTGTTTCCTCCTTTTATTGAAGCAATTACAATACATATTTGGTTAATGAACCTGTAAAGATGTGGCGTGTCGCTATTATCAGCGAGCACGCGAATGCCGGTGAGGGAAACGGCGATCGTGACCTCCTGGGTGCTGAGCTGATCCCGCGCCGTGAACATCTCCTGCCCGTAGCCACGGAGTTGCTGGCACGTTGTGATGAAGCCCTCCTCGGCTTGCGCCTGACGGACGTTACGAGAATGTGTTACGCCATGACGAATTTCGGTTCACATTACTCAAGGTTTTGTCGAGCAGTATACAGCCCATATACACTACTACTGAATAATGATAAAATTACTCGTTATGTATATTTTAACGAGATATTAAATAAATAATTAGGATTTAATTTATTGCACACGCATGTATTATGCAAATAATACATAATAATTATAATTTTGAACTATGAGCTACTCTAATTTTTAATACTAATGTTAGGTCCTTACCTAGGAAATTGGATTTTTTGTTATGAAAAATATACTAATAGAAGTATTGACCATTATTGTCGATGTACTTTTCCATTTTAATAGAAGTTCGTTCATTTTAAAGGCATTTTTTGTTGCCCCATCGGATTTGTATTTTTTCCTCAAGGTTATTCAAATTACGAAATGGAATGAAAATCAGCAAGGAGCAAGGTCTCGTGAGTATGATGGGAAAAGACGTAGACTAGAGCAATTGACAAGTCCATCGTCATCACTTGCAATTCTTCACAGTACACCTCTGCAGTAATTGCCAGGTCTCAAGAAGCTGTAATGAACAATAGATCCACCAAATACTCACAAGCAGCTTCTTTTGACTCAATTTGCGTTTGGGACATGGTTTGGCTACCTCCCCTGTGACCAAACAGTATAGTAATCGAAAACGGTATACGTTTTCGATTATCATACAAAATCCACTTTTCATCATAATATATATTTAAAGCCCCTAATTTTTTTGTTTTTTTTTTTATTATAAATAATAAGTGCGCATTTGACCTCCATCTCACCTGATGGAAAGTGATGACGAGGTCGACGATGTAGCATGCACACTAAATAATGCCTATTAACTCTCGCCTTGAAAAGGTCCAAGTTATAGCGTTCGGGAAATAATTCCGCAGGTAGGGAATTTTACTCATTAGCCGCTCGCCATATAAATGTGGAAGCGAAACGCTTTGTGCGAATCCTGGGAATATCCACAACATACAGGTGGAATCCCAGCCCACGTCTAGTCCCCCGATGGAAAGGGGAACGCGGAATGAAATTATGCAATTCCATCGCACACTCTCCGTGATATATCCTGTAGAATACCGATAACTTTAAAGCGATGTTCAAGGCTCTGCAGCTTTGCCTCTACAAATCCCGAGTTACCTACAAGCCTCTTGGCAAGCTTGTCGATTCAATCCAAGGTGGTCAGTTGGTATTTAGCAGAGCTGTCCCATAAGTGGCAGCAGTACTCCATACACGACCGGACTTGTGCTTGATACAGCAACTGTCTTGGTGTGAAGTAACGCCTCACCTTGGAAAGAATGCCAAGCTTCCTGGCTGTACTTTTGGTCATGGATTCAATGTATCTGCCGAAGTTCAGATTGGACGACAGGTCCATTCCAAGTAGACGGAGACGATCGGCTATCGGTATGGAAATATCACGAAAAGTCGGGAGTCAGGTGAACGGGTCTCCGTT